GGTGTGTTTGGTGATACAGATGTAATAAAGTCAGTATCAGTGCTGGAGGGAGATTCTGTCACTCTAAACACTGATGTTAAAGTACAGAGAGATGATCACACACTGTGGATGTTTGGACCTCAAGAGAGGCGAATAGCTGAAATCCACAGACAGAACATCTATATAGATGCCACTGATACAATATTTGACAAGAGACTGCAGATGGACAATCAAACTGGATCTCTGACCATCAGAAACATCAGAACTGAACACACTGGACTTTATAAACTACTGATCATCAGAAACAGAGGAAACTCATACAAGAGATTCAATGTTACTGTCTATGGTGAGAAAATTAAGATATTTGAGATATTTGCTAAAGATGTTATGTTACAAAATATGCATAAAAAGCTGTGTTCTTTTATTAGTATAAGTATGCTTATGTATATTTAGTATGCTGATCATTTTATGATCACCATCTTCATTTATACCATGTTTGTTTGCTAATTGATTATGGCATTATGTTTCTATAGATCATGGATGTATAATCCATCAGATGTTTATCTCCCTTAGTTTAATTATTTTCTTGCTTTGTGCAGATGAAAAAAAAAATCATTTTACACATGCATATTTCTAAAGAACTGAAACAGGACAAAGAGCCTCATGTTAACTGCACTGATTAAAAAAAAAACTTCACACTTGACCTCCCAATCGAGGCTCACATCTGTCTTTAACTTGTTTTTGATCTGTTTTGAAGTTAAATGCATTTTGTAGGCAGATGCATTTATGCATATACTAATTATAGCTTGTGACAGGGTTACCGCAGATACATGTTAAACTTCAAATGTTGTTAGACTGACTTCACTCCTCTCCTGACTCTCTAATGTATGAGATCTATAAACAAGAAGATATTTTGAATAATATGGGTAACCAAACTGTTGCTGGTCCTCACTGACTTCCATATAGAAAAAATACTATGGAAGTCAATAGGAACCAGCAACTGTTTGGTTACCAACATTATTAAAAATATCTTCTTTTGTGTTCAACAGACGAAGGAAACTCATACTGGTTTGAAGCATTAACTTGAAAGTGATGATAGTATTTTAATTTTTGGGTGAACTATCCCTTGAAGGGAATTACAACTTTTGTACTTTAATATTATATTCACTACTAACTAAGAGTTTTCCCTCAATAAACTCCTTATTTAATGCTTAATATAAGTAGGATGGTCGTGCAGAATAAGGCATTAATATGTGCTTTATAAGTAGATAAGCCAATATCTACAAAGATTAATAATATCTAGACATTTCATTATCAATAATTTGTTGTCCTAAAATTATATTTGTTTCCCTTATGTTCTCCAGCTCTTCTGCCTGTTCCTGTCATCACCAGAGTCTCTTCTCAATGTTCATCAGGATCATCAGTGTCCAGCTGTTCATTGTTGTGTTCAGTGTTGAATGTGAGTGATGTGACTCTCTCCTGGTACAAAGGAAGCAGTTTATTGTCCAGCATCAGTGTGTCTGATCTCAGCATCAGTCTCTCTCTACCTCTGGAGACTGAGTGTCTGGATGATTCCTACAGCTGTGTTGTTGCTTATTCATTCACCAACCAGACTGAACACCTCAACATCACTCAACTGATGTTGAGTCGGCCATGTCCAGGTCAGCAGCAACATTTTCAACTCATTTTCTTTCTAAATGTGCAGTTCATAGCATTTGGATGTAGTTGCATTGAAAAGACAGATCTCTTTCTGTCATGTGCAGGTATATCAGCAGTAAATGCACGTTACAGACCTGAAAGCGTTAAAGTGCACTAATGTTTCCTTGTTCTTCTGTTTCAGACTCTGTTCAGTTTTGTGGTTCTACTGAAGCTGTGATCCGATTGGCCATCTCTGCTGTGGTGGGCGTGGCTACTGTTGCAGTAGTGGTTTATGAGATCACATTTGGAAGAGCTCAAGACAAGACATGAAGAGACACCAGGGGACGATGTTTTCAAATCTAACCCCATATGCCTTACATCTGCCAATCAAAATGCAAGAAAAAGATAAAAGTTTAGAAAACTATGAACAAATTAAACTTATGTTCTCTAACAAATAAAGCTCCTATTTGAATACAAAGCACATTAAAAAGAAAAGTAAAGGAATTGATTGTGTAAATAAAGCTTTTCTTTCCATTTGAGGTCTATGTGGCATTTAATGTGTTTTTATTGGTCACTTCCTATCACATGGTCATCAAGGAACAGTTCCTTTTTCTTGTTTGTATAGAGTGTTGCAGTAGTGAGGATGTGTTTTTGGCCAACCCAGAAGTAAGCATTCCCCTAGTTCCCCTGAGTAAGTTTGATTTTTTTGTAAATTTGATTGTTAAGGTTCCTTCAAGCATTTAAAAATTTGAAAATTTGATTTCAGTCCTTAAAGCAAAGAGTTCACCTGTTTAGTGTGACTACGTTTAATGTCCCTGACAACCTCTGTAGTCCAATTTGAACACTTGTTTATTGTTATGTCGTGGAATAAAACATAAAAATAAAAAAAATAGTTGAGCTTAACCTTATTTCAGGCATTTAACCAAAAATTCATTACAACACACACACACACAAACACAAAACAGCAATTTCTCTCTAGGTTATAAGAATTTGCATAGTTAATTTCAGCTGAAGCGGATTCAACTGGTTCAAATTCCACATAAATCCAGTTTTGTTATCAGCCTGAGAAATGTCAATTAGAAATCGTAATAGCACGATTTGCATAACCGATTTAATGTTCAGTTGACTTTGTGTAAATATCACAACCACAATCCAAGACATAGATAAATGTTTTCTTTGAGCTGAAGCTTATTTGTATAGTATGAATGTAATTTGGACGTACTACATTTGCCATGTTTTTACTGTCATGTGACCTACCTTTCACAAAAACCTTTGAACTTGATGCTGTTTTTTGGGGGGGATGGTGTAATTTTGTATACAGCAAATGTTCTGCACTCTCAGAAAAAAAAGGTACAAAATCAGTCACTGGGGCACTACATTAAAAAAAAAAAAGTACTAATGTGTGCCAGTTAGGTACTATTATGTACACTTTAGTTAATCATATGTACCTTAAAGGGTAAATAAGGTAAAAAAAAAAAAAAGTTTTACCTGTAGGCGGTTCTGCCCCAGTGACAGCTTTTATACCTTTATTTCTGAGAGCATGGGAAACACTCAGCATCTCAAAACCGCACCTCCTGTTTAGCAGGTGGGAGCTTTATCTTAATCACCTTGAAAACTGCAGCTGCCAAAATCTTTGTTTAATTGACCTCAATGGGAGTTTTATTTTATAACAAAGGAAGTGAAAGTGCTGTGCAATTACTGAACGTCAAATGCCTGAAAACCCAGGTGTTCTCCTTCACCTTGTACACTGCATCTACACTATAATTTTTTTCTATTTACATTTTCATTCATTTAGTTTTTTCTAGGATAAGCACTGGTGCAAAGTCTAGCAAATGTGCAAAATAACTACAAATAAAATTATTTAAAACAAACAAACAGTGTTTAAAAACTTACAATGCAAAACGTTTTGGAAGGTCAAAGTTCAGTGGATTGGAGTGATTTTCCCACCATTATTAAATTTATCTTTAAATGTATATATTTTAAAATTGGTTCATATGTGTGACACATTGGGTGCATTGTGTAATGTTAAATCATTTTTTTTTTTAAATATATTTAAATTTTTTTGCAAAAAAAATGGTATAATTTGATTTTAGTGCTTTCTGACAATGTCCCATTGTGTGATGGGATTATAGTTTCTCTCAGTTTTTCTTGGTTTTTCGTGACAAGTTTCAGAGGATGTGGTTTGTAAGTAAGAGATGAAGGAAATGCGAAGTCACACAACACAGAAATCAAGTTTCCATTCTCTTAAAGGGATAGTTCACACAAAATGGACATTCTGTTATCATTTACTCACCATTATGCTCTTATAAACCTGTATGACCTTCTTTCCCCTGTGAAGATATTTTCATAAATGTCTTTGTCCATACAATGAAAGTCTAGTGGGCCACTATTGTTTTGAACACAGATTACGTTCTTTGTATAGACAAAAATAGAATGCAATATCACAAATGTAATTGTGAATAAAAAAAAATTCCTTTAAAATGTATTATTCTAGTGCTTGTGCATTTTGCATGGCACATATTTAATGTATATTTGTTTGTTTGCAGAAAGCAGAATAAACCCTAGGTTCTTCATGCTCTGTGGCACACTTTCCAGCTCTAATACTGAATCTAAGTGTGATGTTCTGTGCTCATTTCTTAGGCTCTTAGCCTAAAGCTAGGGTGCATAGAAATACTTTAATGGTACATATTTGTACCTTTCGAAAAGGTACCGCACCAGTGACCGCTTTTGTACCTTTTTATTTTTTAGAATGTATGGGTGGCTTACGTGCATTGAGTGTGTGGGTGGAAGGTTTGGTGGGTTTAGCTGAAGGCCAGCTTGTGCCATCAGTGTAAACAATCTTACTGCATAATTATGCTTATAATATAAATACCTCAATGTTTTTGCAAAAACTGTTTTGCAGTTCAGGATCTCCATCCTTCATCTGCAATTAACTAAAATATCTTCATTTGTTTAAAGCAAAGCCCGAGGCCAAATATCTGCTGGAATTAACCTGAAGAAAGTCAGAAGTAAGAATTCTGTCAACAAAAACTTTTTAAGTATTAACAGAAGTAGATTACACTATATCTGTCGTCTGGACCATTGTCCCCATCAGACCTTATACCTGTTTCTTCATTTACATAATTGATTGATTTCTAGACATCCGGGCTATATTTGATCAAAGAGTAGGAGAGATGCTATCTGAGTTACAGGAAACAGTTACTGTAAACTACTTTGCAAGGGTAAAAATTTAGTTGTGTGAGAAAGGTGTATGTACTTGTGTTTGCAAAACTAAAGGCGATTAAAAAAATAGTGCTTGTTTCGCTCTAGCACATCAGTGACAGACGAGATCAATGATCAACCACTCCCATTACTGTCCCATTTTTTTTAAGTAGCACCTGGATGCAGTCACACGTGTTGAGCTGTTAAGGGATATGTCTTACGCATTTGTATGTTTTTGCTTATGGCTGTTAGATGGTAAGTTATACATTTGTTTTCTATGGCTTCAGTTCATGTAGTCGTGCATGCTCTTCACATAAATGGGCACACCAAGTTTAATCAGTCATATTTCTACATCGGCCGTTCTGCGATGTACTTGACTGGAACAGTCGCATTGCTTAAGATATCGATGCGTAAAATGCTTAACTTTAATGAACTGTCTAAACAAATATAATGTAAGTCGCGTTGGAAAAAAGCCAGATGCATAAATGTTCAAACAAACATGCCAAGTTCAGATAAAAGTAAGGAAAACCAAAAAAATAATGTTTTTTTGCAGAACATTATTCTTATCAGATTTAACTCGTTTTGCACAATGTTTTGCAGATTGTCAGATGCTCTCTCCCAGAATTAGAACTCAAGCTCATCGACAGTAAATGGTATAAGTGTGAAATAATCAAGTGTGAAAGTTAAATTAACTGCTTGACTTGTCACGAAACTTTATTCGTATGCATGTTTTGCGCTGTTTTCTGTTTTCACAGCCAAAACTGCTCTTGACTGACCTGTTTAGGCTATTTAATTTGTATCTTAGTTCTATTGTATTTATTTTTTCTTGCAAGTAAAAATCTGAACCAGCAGAAAAACTGGGAGAAAGACGTTTACTTTTTATACACATAATATGTTACACATAATTGACAAATCGAGAACATTCACACATTTTTTTTTTTTTTACAAAACTATTAATATGAACATAATAAATTATTTGCCGAATTTCCTTTAAAAAGTGTGTTGTTGAACCCACACTTGTGAGACCAGAGATCCACCCCTAAATGTAAGGGTGCTAGATGTCAGGCTAGTGCACACATAGACATAAAAGGGGGCTTTTGAGCACCAGCCCTTTTTTCTGTTTTTTTTATTATTTTTTTTAAATAAATGAATATATGTATATATGCCTGTTTCTGTTTGCGCACAGCTTTCCCTGTCAAACAAATAAAAAAAATGAAAATATCAGGTCGGGAAATGTTGAGACTTGAATTTTTTGTCGAGTTCCGATGCCTTTCACCCCTCCGCGTCTCCGCGCAGCACAGCAGTAGCACTCATTCGGCACATCACAGTCACAGACAGGCAGAGAGCCGCAGAAGTGAAGCCCTTCCTTCCTCCCTTTCCAGTTGTGTTTGTCTTGGTGTGGAGGTGAGTGGTGATGAAAAGACTAAGCTACTTGTGCCTCGAATTTACAGCTAATTATACAAAAGGCAAATATAGTTAATTTGTCTTACTAACATCCATGACTCACAAGAGCTACCATGTGTGTTAGTTAAAGTTTAGTTCTACAACGAACGTCAAACTGTCTTGTCAAAAACAAGCCATGATCAGAATGCTAGATATTTCTTCTAACCGCATAAACTCCTTTGCTCCCGTCCTCCGCTCACGGAAATCATATGATACGTTGCCTTTGCTATGATAAACACCAGTTGCGCCGCTGTTTTCATGTAGGTGTGTAGTGCTGCTTACACTATTCTTCTTAAATACGCCAGTATTGCCGCTATTCATATACTTTTAATGATAGCCAACATTACAGCCCCGCGTGCAATGCAGCTCGCTGAACGTGTATGAGTTAATAATGTAGAACTCCAGACAAGTTTTCTTGCGCGCACCCGCTTTTAACGCGTCTTGACTGTCGTACAGTCTGACATTAATGACAACTGAGATCCCACAGTGTGACATGATCATCATGTTCGTACAGTCTGACAAGTACAATCATAAAGGACTTTTAAAAATAGCACAGGTGTGAGCCCAGCTTAAGACAATAGGAAGTCTAGTAGACCAGTGCGCATTATTTCACTGCATGACTCAGTTTATTAAAATGCATTTAGAATGATCACAAAATTCAAGATATGGGGGCAGAAATGTATACATTTATATCATTTCATATAGTTAATCAGTATCACCCTAAGACTGACTTTTTTTCTACCAAAAAGCAGCATGATTACAAATGTGATATTGATTTTATACAGCAGTTCAATAAACATGAATTTAATATTAAAACACTTATGTTTTAGACACAATATTGACTGTTTTTGCTCTATTTCGCCAACATATATAATTCCAATATATTTTTTGTCAATCGCACACCCCTTATATATTTAACATTTTGTTTAGAAAAAAATGTAAATGAATATGAGAAGTGCCCTTCTTTTTCCACTTGAGCCCCTGCCCCTCAAAATGTCTGTGCATGTCCCACCTCGATGTATTTTATTGATTGGTGTATTTTCATGTACTACAAATTTGGTTGCAATTCATTTTACAGTTCTGTTCTGTGTTTACATACTATATATTATTGCAATTACAATATCTGGGTAATAATTAGGTACTAACCCTGAACCTAGCCCTAAACCTAACTTAACCTTAGTTACCTTAAACTATTCGGTATGTTCTTGAATCAGAATCAGAATCAGAATGAGCTTTATTGCCAGGTATGTTTACACATACGAGGAATTTGTTTTAGTGACAGAAGCTCCACAGTGCAACAGAATGACAGTGACAAGACAGGACACAGATAATAAAAAAGAATAATATAAAAATTGACAAAATAGACAATGTACAAAAAAGCAAAAACAATATATAATATAGACAATTTTGTATGTACAGGTATGATATGTGAAAATTTGAAATGTAAATAAGTATGTGTGTTAAATAAATGCATACTAGTGTTGTGTGTTCCACGATTATTGTTAGGTGTTCATGAGATGGATTGCCTGAGGAAAGAAACTGTTCCTGTGTCTGGTCATTCTGGTGCTCAGTGCTCTGTAGCGTCGACCAGATGGCAACAGTTCAAAGAGGGAGTGTGCTGGATGTGAGGGGTCCAGAGTGATTTTGCTAGCCCTTTTGCTCACTCTGGATGAGTACAGTTCTTGGAGAGAACGGAGGGTTGTACCAGTGATTCGCTCAGCAGTCCGGACTACCCTCTGTAGTCTTCTGAGGTCAGATTTGGTAGCTGAGCTGAACCAGAGATATAGAAGTGCAGAGGACAGATTCAATAATGGCGGAGTAGAATTGTTTGAGCAGCTCTTGAGGCAGGTTGAACTTCCTCAGCTGGCGAAGGAAGTACAACCTCTGCTGGGCCTTTTTGACAATGGACTCAATGTGTTTGTCCCACTTCAGGTCCTGAAAGATAGTGGTGCCCAGAAACCTGAATGACTCCACTGTTGTTACAGTGCTGTTCATGATGGTGAGTGAAGGGAGAGCAGGGGGGTTCCTCCTGAAGTCCACTGTCATCTCCACAGTTTTGACCGTGTTAAGCTCCAGGTTATTAAGACTGCACCAGACAGCCAGCTCTTTAACCTCCTGTCTGTAAGCAGACTCGTCACCGTCCTGAATGAGGCCGATGAGTGTGGTGTCGTCTGCAAACTTCAGGAGTTTCACAGAGGAGTCTTTAGATGTGCAGTCATTTGTGTAGAGGGAGAAGATCAGTGGGGAGAGGACACAACCCTAGGGGGCGCCAGTGCTGATCATATGGGTGCTGGATGAGAATTTCCCCAGCCTCACTAGCTGCTGCCTGCCTGTCAGGAAGCTGGTGATCCACTGACAGACGGAGGTGGGCACGGAGAGCTGAGTTAGTTTGGGCAGGAGGAGGTTTGGGATGATAGTGTTAAACGCCGAGCTGAAGTCCACAAACAGGATCCTCACATAAGTCCCTGGTCTGTCTAGATGTTGCAGGATGTAATGCAGTCCCATGTTGACTGTATCATCCACAGACCCGTTTGCTCTGGGGGCAAACTGCAGGGGGTCCAGTAAGGGTCCAGTGATGTCCTTCAGATAAGCCAAAACCAGTTTTTCAAATGATTTCATGGTCAAAGACGTTAGAGCCACAGGTCTGTAGTCATTAAGTCCACTAATTTTGGGTTTCTTTGGGACGGGGATGATGGTAGAGCGTTTGAAGCATGAGGGGAATTCGCACAGCTCTAGTGATCTGTTGAAGATCTGTGTGAAGATGGGGGACAGCTGGTCAGCACAGGTTTTCAGACAGGCTGGTGTCACACCGTCTGGGCCTGGTGCCTTTCTTCTCTTGTTCTTTCTGAAGACCTGACACACGTCATCTTCACTGATCTGAAGTGCTGGAGGGGGGGAGAGAGGGGTTGCAGGAGGTGTGAATGGTGTTTTTTCAAATCTGCAATAAAACTCGTTCAGATAGTCTGCCAGTTGTTGATTCTCCACAGTGCTGGGGGATGGTGTCTTGTAATTGGTGATGTCTTTCAGACCTTTCCACACTGAAGCAGGATCACTGGAAAAGAATTGGTTCTTTAGCTTTACAGTATAATTCCTCTTTGCCACTCTGATCTCCTTTT